AGAGGCCTGTGAGGTGAAGAAAAAACTAATTGGAGAAAAGAATCACAGAGAAGATATTATGCTGCCATAGGAGGATTATATCTATCTGATGGATTCTAACTCAACATTCTAACTGGAAGGCTTAGAATAATAATTTACTGTCTCAGCTTTGAAGAAGTTATAACTAGTTGGGTCTCTCTTGTCAAAGATCCAAATCAAAGGAAGGGGTTAAGCTACCTGCAAAGGCTTTTGATACAAAACTGATCAAAAATATTACATATATACTGGGGGGGGGGTATAATATGCTTCAACATATTTTTCTTCTTCTTCTTTATTCTTGCTTTTTTTCTTTTTGCAACACAGCCAATATGGAAATATGTTTTGTATTACTTTACATGTATAATAAGTATCATAATGTTTTCCTTCTTAATGGGTCAAGGAGGGGATCGAGGGTGGGAGAGAATTTAGAACTTAAATTTTTTTAATGAATGTTAAAAATATATTTTAGAAAACATGCTTCAGGAAAATTTTACCTCTAAGTGTTTCAGAAAGAGTTGACAAAAGAATTCTATTCAAGGCTACGCAGAAAAATAGTGATAGTTTAAGCAGTGATTGATAACTAGCTAAAGGTTATTTGTATAATATATCTCATTTTAACTGTTATTGCCTTTCATTAAATCTTGCTTTATTTTTTGTCTTTTTTTTTTTTTTTGGTTAGGCAATGGGGTTAAGTGACTTGCCCAGGGTCACGCAGCTAGTAGGTGTTATGTGTCTGAGGCCAGATTTGAACTCAGTTCCTCCTGAATTCAGGGCCGGTGCTCTATCCACTGCACCACCTAGCTGCCCCAAATTACAGATGGTTTTGTTTTTTTTGTTTGTTTTTTTGTTTGTTTGTTGGTTTGTTTTTTTAGGCAATTGGGGTTAAGTGACTTGCTCAGGGTCACATAGCTAGTAAGTGTCAAGTGTTTGGTCTGAGGCCAGATTTGAACTCAGGTCCTCCTGACTTCAGGGCCGGTGCTCTATCCACTGCGCCATCTAGCTGCCCCTATTTTTTGTCTTTAGAAATTATATTTGTGCTTAGTTGTCTTGTAAAAAGATTCTTAAAAAAAAATTCCTCATAGTATAAAGAGACAAAAGCCTGGATTTCAATCTCAGCTCTACCAATAACTAGTTATGGGATTTTGTGTAAGTTACAACTTTTCTGGGAAACAGTTTCTTTGTAAAATGAGGGGACTAGACTAGATGATCTTAAAAATCTTTTCTTTCTCTACAATTCTAATTGAATGGAGTCTATGATTCTAATTGACCAGAAAAGGAAACTAATTTCTCCGTTATCATGTCTGTGAGGGAAGCTTACCTAGAAAGCTGAGTATCTAGAAGAAAGTGAAGGTGCTCTTGGGGAGCCAGCTTTGCAAGCCTGAAGATGCAAAGTAGTCCAATTGTCAATTGACAGCAATCGGGAAGAATTCTCTTCTACAATCTTTAAGACTTGTACTCACTGTGTTGCTGCTGTCTCTGCCACATTGTTTCGATAAACCTTTCCTGATTCCTTTCAGCTGCTAGTATCCTTACTTCCATATCGCCTTCCATTTAACTACTTTGTATTTATTTTCTCTGCATTTATTCAGCATATACCTACACGTAAGCTCCTTGAGGGGAAGGATTGTTTCATTCTTTATATTTGTATCCCCAGCACCTAACACAGATGCAAGTATTCAGTAGGTGCTCAATAAATGTCTACTAATCAACTGATTGCCATTCAAGTCTCTGATGGTGTTGTGTCTGGGTTGAGTTCTGTGCCTGTGTTTTTAAGGGATTTATACCATGAAGATACATTCAGGTGGTCTCCTGGTCACAGTTTGAGAACTGTTAACCCGTCTTCCTGTAACTTAACATGTTCAAGTGGTACTGTAGCTCAATCTAGCAGGAATGAAACTAGCATTTCCAAGAACAGCAAAGAGATTTTGTAATGTACTGTGCTGGAGTGACTTAATCACTGGTGCTTCTATTCTTCAGTCACAACTCATATATTAACCCCATGTTATAGGCTGCAGTGCTGATGGTGGGGTTGAGGAGAAAGGGGTGGATTTTTGGGCTTTTAGATCCTCAGTGCTCTGTAAGGGGACCTTCTGTGTATCTCACCCAAGAGTCAGATCATTATCTAGAGACATTAGGAGGAAGTAGCAAATTAACAAATATTTACTGAGCACAAGGCACTCATTATGCTAGGCATTGTGAGGAATGCAAAGATTTTAAAGACAGAGTACACATCCCCAAGGGGCTTATAGTCTGGTTGAGGATAGAGGACATAAAAATAATAACCTACATTTATATAGCATTTTAAGGTTTTTAAAACCTTTGCTGATCTCCTCAGCTGCTAGTGTCCTCCCTCTCTAATTACTTGTATCAATTACTATTTATTCTCATTATATTTATTTCATATATACTTTGTTATTTAATCATTTTTCAGTCATATCTGACTCTTTGTGACACCTTTTGGGGTTTTCTTGGCAAAGATACTGGAGTGGTTTGCCATTTCTTTCTCTAGCTCATTTTACAGATGAGGAAACTGAGGTAAACAGGGTTAAGTGACTTGCCCAGGGTCACACAGCTAGTAAGTGTCTGAGGCCAAATTGGAATTCAGGAAGATGAGTCTTTCTGACCCCAGGCCTAGCACTCTATCCACTATACCAACTAACTGCCCTGAGGTAGATATTACAATCCCCATTTTATAGATGAGGAAACTGAGGCTCAAAGAAATTACGTGGCTTGCCCCTGGATCTTTTGCTAGTAAAGATCAGAGATGAGATTTGAACTCCTGCCTCTAAGTTCAGTCCTTTCCTACTCCCTGTACTGCCTATACAGGCAAGATAGTGCATGGTAAATATCCAAACAGTGGCATAGAATTAACCATATATTAGGGGGAAAAATGGATAAGGAATTCAGAAAAGAAAGAGATTGCTAGAGATTGAGTGGTCAGGGAAGGCCTTGTGGAGGAAAAAGATGTGAGATGAGTCTTGAAAGATGAACAGAATTCAAGTAAGAGGAATAGGAAGACAATTCAGATGAGAAGAGTGTGAATGAAAGGGCAAATGCAGCAATGCACAGAGACATCCAGGGGTAGGGTAAAAGGCCAATGACTTTTGGGGATTCTTTTGGAGCTTTAGGAGAGAGCTGAAGTAAGCTAGTGAAAATTGGGGGTGAGAAAATGGCTGTGGAAAGAAGCATGAGAACACATGTCGAACATTTCTCTCCCATCTATTCCAGAAAATACAAGAGAAGAATTATGTAGCTTTTGTTAATGGACGGTTTGCACATCACATTCTGAAAGAGAAAAGGTCATAACCTTAGGTACACAAACCACACTGGAGTAATCAATATGGAAAGGTACAGAATAAGAGAAGGCTAGATGATGGCCAAGTGTTCTCCTGGATTTGTTTTCTACAGACTGTGACCTTGAAAAGATTCCAACTGGTTGTTGCTATCAATCCTCCCCTCACCATTCTTGAATTTGTCTATCTTTTTACTTCTAACATTTTTGCAGTCTTCTTCTACATGAGGCAATTAGGGTTAAAAGATCAATGCAGATGAGTGAAAATCTTATTCAGCTGAACAAGTTTTCGCTCTGCTCAGTAGTCAGCACTGTGTTTGATACTGAGGTACCGGGGAGGGGAAGAGGCATGTTCCTGGCCTGCAATGAGCTGTAAGTACCCAGAGCACAAGATGAGAGCCAGTCTTGCATCCCCAATGTCATACTGCACATTTCCAAATGGACGTTGCATACGTATCTCAAGCTTAACACGATCCAAACAGAAGACATTATCTTTGCCCCCAAACCCACCCCTTTCCTAAACTTCCCTATTTCTGTTGAGGGTACCAACAACCTTCTCATTACCCAGACTCACAAACCTAGTGGCCTCATTCCTAACTTGTTCCCACCCTACCCTACAAATCCAATCAATTGCAAAAAACTTGGCATTTCTCCCTCTACATTTTTTTTTGCATCTATCCTCTTCCCTCTCCTCACACAATCACCACCATTAGAACCAAATTACTTCTCCTCATGATTATTATAACGGCCTCCTAATTCACCTCTTTGTCTTAAGCCTCTTCCCATTACAATCCATCCTCCACCCAGATGTCAGAGTGATTTTCCTTAAATTCAGTCCTGATCATGTCACTCTCTTACTCAATAACCTTCAATGGCTCCCTATTATTTCAAGGATAAAAATATAAACGTCTCTACCTGGCATTCAAAGCCCTTTATAACCTAGCACTAGCCTGCCTTTTTAGGCTTATTACACAGTATTCCCCTCAATGCACTTTGTGGTCATGCCAAACTGGCCTTCTTATCATTTCTCACAAACAACATGCCCTCTTCCATCTCCATTCCTTCTCCCATTTGTGCTGTAAATACCCATTTATGCTTCAGTGGACTCCTTCCTCCCTTTCACTTCTTAGAAAATCAGGTTTCTTTCAGGCTCAGCTCAAATGACACCTTTTACATGATGTCCTCCCTGATTCCCCCAGCTGTTAGTGCTTTTCCCAGCAAAGTACCTTGTCAGCTATCTTGCATATTCTCATAGATGTACCTGTTGTCTCCCCCAGCTAGATTGTAAGCTCTTCAAGGGCAGGGACTATTTATTTCACTTTGCCTTTCTATCCAAAGCACCCAGCACATAGAAGGTGCTTGATAGACACTTTTGATTGATAGCGATTTGACAGCAGAAAAGCATGGTTCAAGGCAGTATAGGACCAAGTGCGGCAATACGTGGGGTACAGCAGAGGAAACGACAAACTTTTATTTTAAATGAAGACTATCCAATTTATATAGGCATATATGAATCATTCATCAAAGAGGAAGTGCCTTCATGAGCTTAGGCATGCAGACTTGAAAATCACACTCACATTCAATAAAGTCATTGCTACCTGTGGCTTCCTTTTACCCTTTCAGAGAGGTAAAGTGGGCACAGGACCAGTAATTGACTATAATCTCACTGGCTTGCTCAGAACCAACCTACCTCTTTCTCCTGGGGTCCCTGGCTGGCCTGGGTTGCCTGGGAAGCCTGGCCGGCCTGGAGGTCCTTGTTCACCAGGAGTACCAGGAGAACCTTGTCTTCCTGGCTCACCAGGAGGCCCAGGAATAGTCCGGACGGATGAAGAATGACTTGGAATCTGATTGAGGATAGACGTGTATCTGGCCATGTGACCTAAACAAAACAAAAGAAAATCAACTTAATGCAACTTTTCACAAAAGGAGGGGGACAGTAGTTTTTACTTTAGACTTGGTGGGGAGAGGTGTTTGACTTTCTAACAATACATCAGCCTCCCCCTCCCTCAGTAAATGAAAGAAAGTATTCCCTCTAAAACAGTGTTATTTGCCAATTTTTTTTTTAAAGTTTACTTTGGATTGAGTTCAATGCACATCTAATGTGCTTGGAATTCTGCGCCCAACTATTCTTCAACATCTCTATAAACACCACAGAGCAGAAGATTATTCTTAGTTATAAATCCTGTCTTTACCACCAACATTTACCTGACCCCTGACCCTTCACCCAGCTGCTTCATTCTCCAGCAACTTTTCCTAAGTTATTTGACTTCTTTCCCAACCCACAAAACCCTGCTCCACCCTGCTGCTAGCAATCCCCCTGACAAGTGCCCTGAATCAACACACCTCCTAGCTGCCAAGCCCTTCTTTTGTCCCTTGGGCAGGAACCTTTGCTCATGAATCAGCTGCAAAAACTCCCACTAACTGTGAAAAAAAAAATAAAAAAAACCTCACCCCCAAATTCTGGGTTTCTTTCCCTAATTCTCTAGCTCAGTTATTTCTTTTAAAATTCTAATTCTGAGCATAGAATTAGGTGGTCCTTTATTTCATCCAGCAGTGTCAGGGAATAAGTTATGTCATAAGTAAACTATCCAGAGAACTGAAACCTACCCCTTGGCATGAGAAACTTTTTAAAAATTGTCATCTCTGCTGGTGGAAATCATTCTAAAACACTTCATAATTTGTCTAAACAATGCATACTGAATATAATCAAACTTTTCTTAAAAGTTCAGTGCCATTGTTTTTAACATTAATTATCATATTAAGCAGAATCACAGCTCTGTGCCTACTTTTTAATCTTCCTGTCTCCTTTCTCAATGTCAAGGTGTCAGCTCTTATTTCTGGTATTAATGTACATGCCCCTGATGACCCTCTCCAAATACCTCCTCTCCTTTCTATTTTGTTACTTCTGATATACTTTGGGCTGGGTAAGCTTACTAAGAATTGTTTGTTAAATAAAATGCAGTATGGCTCTGGGTCAGGGGTTTAGTTTTAATTTTACTTTTAGGCACTTTATGATAGCTCTTTGTGGGGCTCAAAAGAATTTTGAACTGATATCTTGTCTAAACCACTGGGTATATTAGCATATAAGGTTTTATATAGCTTCTTTCATCAATTACTGCCCATAATTGCTCATTAAAAGATAGGTTCTTTTAAAAAATAATGATTATGATAATAATGATAATATTATAACAATATTGGCAGCTTACAGTCATATGTAGTGCTTTAGTGTTATTATGCAGTTGATTCTTATAACAACCAATACAGTAGGTAGTGTAAGTGACATTTTCTTCATTTAATCAGTTAGAAAAATTCTGAGGCTAATTAATTGACTTGCCAAAAGTCATACAGCAGAGGTGGGACTTAAACTTAGGTCTTTAGAATCCAAGTTGCCTGATCTTTTCATTGTCACTGTGCCTTTCAGATCACATCCCAGGATCTGACCTTCCTTTCCACCTTCATATCTGATCCCATGACCTATTCCTCCACTCCACTCCTACTCTTGCTCTCCACCAAGAGGTAGGTTGGTTCATGTACATAGATAATCACACCCTGAATCACACTGCTACCCATAAGCATTCCATATCCATGATCAAAACCTGGACTTTACTTTATCTGACCTTAATCTCCTATCATTTCATTTCTTCCTTATGTCTTATCCTTCTTAAACCTACTCTTAGCCCATATCATACACTCTAATGCTTCCATGCCTCAGTACTATCTCAAACCGATCCCTAGTCTTTATTATGATCTTTAATCCTTCCACAGCTCAGTGCTTTCTCAGGCCATTAACCCCTCTCATATTTCATCTTCCTCCCCTTCTCATCTCAATCCTACAGCTAAATAGTTCAATTCCACACTGTCCTCCACTCTCGAAATACCTTGTTCATTTTTTCCATTGCTCTTTGCTTAAAATCTCAACCCT